ACTTTCCGGTAGAGATTTTTTTATTGATAAAGGTAGACAAACTTATGAGTAATGTTTTATTACATTTTAAAATCTTAAAATACATTTTTATTGATATTCATAAAAATGAAAACTAATAAAATTGGAAACTGAAAATGTCCCTAAACAGTTCAAAATAAATCAAAATATTTTGAAAATGTTATCGTGTATAGAAAATGCAAATATAAACAACCACTGAAAATGTCATGTATCTAAGGTCATTTGTTTTAAAGTTACACCAAAAACCAAAATCGATTTTCTCGAAAACAGATTTTGCGTAAAAATTCCCGTTTTTCCTTAATTTTTCTTTTGTTTTTCTTGGCGCTTTTGAAAAGTACTGGGAATTTTAAATTTTGACCTCCTCAATGCACCAACGATATTCACTTTCCAATCGAACAAGATACTGAAGTCGAAAATCGAAGCATTATTTCGACTACTTATCGTGTACACAGACACAAAAAAAAATAAATAAAAAAACACACATCATTGTAAAATCAATACATTCATCGTTTCACTCAGAATCTGAAAATGTTAGCTACATTTGTTTTTGAATAATATCGTTTAGTGTAGCTAGGAATACGTTAACGAAGTAGAGGGGCTCACAGTGCCATAGTGCTTCCCGTACTTCGCGTCTTGTGCTCTGTATTATATTATATTTTTATATTTTGTGGCTCTGGCAAGGAGGTGGTCTTCGGTAGTTCGCAGTTACGTGTATTTGTAAAGTCAAATATGACTAAGTATGGTGTACGGTAACAACGTCACCACCTCACATCAAAATATATATTAATATATTATGTTAAGTTTGTATCGATCAATTAAACCATTTCTACCTCTACCATTCCCGTATTCACTTCTGGAGTGAGTATATTGGCACACACAGATTTTTTTTTGTTTTTTTTTTTTGGGGGGGGGGGTCAAAACCCACCTCAAATACGGTCTTGGTATAAAATATATATTAATACATTAATATTTCATTGACATTTATAGTTTTATAATAATTAGGCCTTATAACATCAATATATAGGTACAATAATACATTAGGATATTTGATGGCAAAACCCACCAATATGCCATAATCATATGGCACCTCTCTCACAATTTTATTTGAGGAATGCAGTACGAAAAACAAAGAGAGTAACTCAACATATAAACCATCTTATTGGAACAAGTGTAGTTCAAAATCCAGACAACGAAATTAACACATCAGAATTCTTTAAAACAATAAAAATATTAAACCTAAAGTAGGATAATATAACCAACAATTGTTATGTACACAAATATCTAAATTTTATTTTTATTTTTTTATTTTCTCAATTTTTTATTGAAGAAGTTATTATTAAAATGTAAATGTATATGTACAAATTTAAAACTAATTAGCTTTAATAGTTGATGCGCAAATTTATAATTTCAAGATCAATAAAAAAAAATACTTTAATAGGTACATTATATATCTACATAATATGTTACTAAAAATATTAAACAATAATATAATATAGTAATAACTGTATCCTTTTATGATTGATATCATATGTCGGAGAAAACATATACCAGCTGTTATATAAGTATAGGTACGGACTACGCCTTTCATATTTTGTTGCAATTACTGTAATGTACCTTTTCGATATAATCGCACTTTGTGAAGTGTAAAGTTTGTTTAATGTTCCATATTATCAAAATTGTCGAATTTAAAAAAAATGTAAAACCGTCGAAGAGTGGATAACTTACAAGGTTGGTTATTACATCTCACCACTTATAAACTTTGAAACATTATTTACTTCATAAACACCCTGTTATAGTCTGAATTGTTATATATTTTTTTAATGCTATGATTTATCTTTGTTTTTAAATTATAAAATATTGGAATACATATTATATTAAAGGTTTGAACCAAGATAATTTGTTTTTTACAATGACGTATTTTCTTAAATGTGGATTCTTTCAGAAAACAATTTCCATGCTTTAAGTGGTCAAAAAGTTTCATGTTCCTCCATCAATTGATATTTGATTCTAGCTAAATCCAGCAACAGGAGGCACTTAAATATATTAAGTATATTATTTTCTTGCTTTTCAAATTCACCACTGTCGTGTCCCAGTAAACATGATCGCAAACTTTAGAAAAACGATTAAATGTATCTTTATTATGGCGAAACCAATTTTAACTTATTTGAAAATATTTTTGGGAAATACTTTTATTGCTATTATAGTAATTTATTTTACAATTTATAATACAATATAAATAGACATTAACTTAAAAATAATATAAGAATTTTGAAAATATCATTGCCTATGCATAGTTACTTACCTAGTAAAATAACAATATATTAGGTACCTATGTAATTTAAAGTCCCTAAACGAATAATGCTGAATTTCCACGAAAAAACAAAAATCGTTATTATTTGTTAAAATCAGGGCGTCCCCAGGAATTTGTGAAGGGGGTCAAAATATTTTCCTTTTTTAATTTTTTGTTTTACTATACGATTAGTGGTAAAGAATTGTTTGTGACATGTTTTCTTTCATATAGGCAAAGAATGTAAACATTACTTATTTAGGCTATTTATGTAATATATTATAACTTAATAATTCATCATTCATTTTAATTAATTGATATTATGTAATTTTAAATTAACAAATGCATATAGTCTTTAATAAATACAATTTGACCATTGATTTGATAATGTTGGTTTATTTATAACATTTAAGAGGATGTGTTGTCTCCGTCTTACAAATGTACAACGTAGCAAAAACTGTTATGTACATAATAAATCACAGATTACATTGGTTGATACCTTCATATTTACTAATATTATAAATACAAATATGATAAAATGTATAAAATAATATAATTTTGTGTTTGTGAGTGGGTGGGTAAATCTTGCTACACCTGAAAAATATATCTTGGGCGCCACTGATTAAGGCTGGGATTTTGATGCACTTTGCATTGTTATCTGAACTAGCAACAAGATGCTCGTCTTATAAGTTATAACTTAAACGTTTGATGTACTTATTTTTGAATCATAATAAGAAAATTAAATTTTTTGCCAATTTAAATTTTAAGGTATTTTTTGGAGCATTTTAGGTATTTTGTGGGATTTTTGTAATTTTTGAATTTTTGAAAAAAAAAAAAAATTAAAATTAATTTTAAGATTTTTACATGGTTTTTAAATTAATTTAACAAATTATAACTTGGTATATGCAGATGCAGGAAAACCTATAAAAAAATTGTAATGTATGGAAATAATTGTTTTTTTCAGATTGAAGAAGTTCAAAACGATCAGTTCGGTCTGTAAAACTTTTTAAAATCCTTTAAAATGTATATAATCATATAAACCAAATTTAAATTAGAATTTATACCTATCAAAATTGTTAAAAATAAAATTAATGTAATTAATTTGTTTAGTGCCTTGTTCAGAATTTGTATCGCATTAAAGCATTTTTTTAGGGAAAAAAATCCTAGCACTAATAATGATCATGAAAATTTACTCAGAAAAAAGCTTAATGACTTAAGGACTTAATAGATATGCATATTTTATATAATGGCCAAAAGAAAAACCATAGCACGCTAGTACGCTACTCGATATTTTTCATCTAGGTACAAGGAAAATCTGTGAATCATAAATATATATGTTTTCGTTAATAAGGAACCATGACAACCAAAACCTTACGAAAAATTGGTCAGAAAAACAAAAACGTGTGTGCAGCTCAAAAACACCTATTATTTAAGTTAAAAAAGATTTAAATTGGTAACAATATTAATGAGTTATAAGTTTATAATAATGTTAATTATAGCAAAAACAATTGCATAACTACCTATTATTACATATTATTTTGATTATTTCTAAAATGGGTAACAATCTAAACAATTAGCTGTTAGGTATTTCTATTGTTGTTAAATTTATGATTTAAATATAATGTATTTATTGCTTGAGGCCTAACACGCTCATTGGTGGAAATGGGGGGGGGGGGCTTGGTGGGTCTAAGCTGTTTAGGTCAAATAGACAACTTTTTAGTTGAAGATCGACCCCCCCCTCTCGCATTGAGAATTCAAATGTTAGCGCCCCCCCCCCCCAACCAGAAGGCTGCCATTTTAATGAATGTCCACCTATGGAAATGGTTGTGGTCTGTCACCTGTGAGTACATGTAATTTTTGTGCACTAGTTTAAACAACAAAACACAATGGTGCGCATGCTATCGATGTTTAAATTGCAATACCTACCAATAAATTATATATTTTTATTGTTTCACCCGTTTCGTGCATTCCGTACCTACTACGCTTACCTAACACATTTATCATTTATGTGTATGCATTTCCACTATCACGTAATTTCGAAGCGTTTTCACTGCGCCTTGTGCGCTTACTAAGTAGTAACTAAGTAAGACTCAAGGTTAATCGTCTGTGAAAAAGTATAATATGTGTTTCGATATTAGGTTCGTAAAAACATGATATCGAAGTATTATTTTACCTCCATGTTTGGAGGAATAAATTCGTAGGTAGTCTTCCTCCATGGCGGTTAGGAAAACGACGCTACATAATATTATTATTTTAGTGAGTACCTATGATGATAAGTGATAACACATAACAATATGATTATTACGTTTATTTGTTTTTCATTACTGTATGTAATATTGTTCAATTGTAATTTTGGCCCAATGCGTACTGTTCGATGTTAAATATTTTCATTGATGACAGTTTGGTCAACTGCGTTTTATTTAAAACTTAAATTTTATTTCTCCATTAAGTTTAACGTGCGCTGCAAAAATTTGAGTGAGCTTGGCGAAAACGTAATTTGCAATACCATATTACTTTCCCTAACTGCTTATAGTAGGTGAGAACGCCAACACTCGCATTTAATACATTGGATAAATAAATTAATAATCTGTGATTTATTATATTACTAAGTATCTTTGAAAATCAAAGTACCTACTTATTAAGCTCATGTCAAAATTGTTTTGTTCGATTTTTAGGTGGTACATATTTTTAAGAAATGGAAGATCCGCCAAGCTCTAGCAGTTATTCATTGGATTCAAGTAGCACTTCCAAGTCCATAGTTATTCCGATTGGTCCACATTCACCTTATTCAGGTGATTTTGGTGAATACTTTTCTGAACAGTACTCTGTCCTCAAGTTGGTTTTATCTTATCTAAACTATTATGATCTTAATACACTTCGGGAAGTCAACAGTTCTTTGAAAATAGCTACTGATATACTGTTAAAGAAACGCACGTGGATTCAAGCTGCTTCTCTAAATTATATGCACGGAACTGATCATCGGCCAGAGCCAATACACAGTGGACATTTCATTGATTTGAGAATTGAGCCAAAAGTATTGTTTACTTTTGAAGGTATGGCTGGTGGACCTTCATCTAGATCCAGGCCAAAAATTTGTATGCGTTTACGAGATAGAAACGATAACCGTTTCTTTCCCAGAAGTGACATCGTGCCAAAATCAGTTAAGACATTTGTACCAATTGGCGCTAAAGGTATTATTTATCCAGACAAGAATGAAAAAAATGAATTGATAACTGTTCAGACCATGATGCATAAAAAACTGGCACTTCTCTATTTGCCTACAACTGACAGTTATGATGTAAGTGTATTTACTCGTGTAGTTACATCTGACTCGTTTATACAAGAACCAATACGTGAATTTTTTCATAGTGATCCACGTCCTATAAGAGGAATAATATTTTTGAAAGTCGGTGCACCACATATCGATGGAATGATAAGGTTTATTGTGAAAATGGTATCGAACAATCAGTCCGAACCATTTGCGTTATCTGGAGGACATGTATCAAGCTTAGATTATGATAATCCACCAAAAAAAAATATTCCTGGTGTTTTGAAGGCAATAATTTTTCGTGGAGATGGTATACGTTGTGTGTCCGATTTTATTGGCTCTACAACGGATGATGGAGTACTTGAGGATTAAAACATAACTGCACTGTATGTTAATAACACTTTTGGAAAATGAACGTTCAATAAAACATTCATAATGATGTTCAATGTGTAGATAGACTTCATTGCCCATTGAAGATAATACTCATCTTGCAAGACATTTCCAAATATCCCAATTTTGGGTATGCAAACTTGGGGAGAGAAATGGGTTTAGGTCTTTTAAAACACATGAATTGAAATTTGCTCCTAAAAAGAGAAAGTTATCCATAATGCATTCAGTTAAAACCACGTACATGATTGTTTCTATAGATTAATAATAATATAACAAAATATTACTAAAATATTAATTTTACTTTAAATATTTTAAAGTATTTTAATACTTTAATTTTTTTTTTGTTTATAGTGTCTTGAGTAACTTCTATGGTTTCCTTATTAAACATTTTGTTTTATTTATGATTTATATTAAATTTACAATTACTTTTATTTTGAATAACATGACTGTGTAGAAGGTAAAGTATCTATCAACTGCAGTCTAGTTATGAAACAAAATAATACCTTTTTAAATATAGATGCATATTATTTTGCTGTTGTTTTTGATTTTGATTTTAGACAACTATTTGTAATTGTGAGAAGTATTATTGATGTAGGTGATTCATATTATTAACCTACATAATATTATTATTGTTTTAAAAAATTATTCTTTTCATTTAATGGATTATGAAAAAAAATAATTTTGCTACAATTTGTAATAAAAAATAAGGAATATATATTTATATGTATATATATACCTGTATGTCGAAAAAACTGGTACAATCTATAACTCAGTTACTTACATTACTCAGTACCTATATTATTTTTAGAATTCTGTCTGCAGGAGATTGATGATCCAATAGTCTAGTTTCATTTCCCACAAACAGAATTCAAAAATATGTATAGGGTAATGAGTAATATGGGTAATTTAATTATAAAGTGTACCCTGTTTTTGAGGACACTGCATATATATTGTTATAAGCAAAATAACATTAAATGATTTTTATATGTAAACAAAATAACTAAATGTTTTTTTTATGTAAGCAAAATAACTAAATGGTTTTTTGATGTAAACAATTTTACTTAGAACATTTTTTGTGAACAATTTTAGTTTTTTTGATATAATTTTCATAACAATAATTTTGCATTCACTTTATATATAATTAGTTAAGCAGGTCTTGTTTATTATACAGGTGTCCCGTGAGGATTTACTCATTGCGATATCTCCTGAAATAATAGAGATATCGTAATTCTGTTTTCTTATTAAGACTCACAGAGGTAAGCACTACAAATAACTAATTTTTTATTTTTTTTTTTTGTGTTTTGGTAAAAAAATTAAAAAATTAATTTTTTTAATTAATTATTTAAAAAAATATTGAAGATTGCCATTTTGTAGAGTTCAGTTTTTCTGAAATATTGACTTCAACATTTAATTTCATTAATTTCCTGATTTTTAATAATTGTTTTAGTTTATAGGTAAAACGCAAAAAATCCGGTTTTTGTCCGGGCGGCGAGTCCCTCTCTACGTCTAATGGGTATATCCTCACGGGACACCCTGTATACTTTTGCATAGGTTATACTGTAAACATTATATTTAATTTTCATATGTATTTATTTTATATATAGGTATTTGGCTGTTTTAATTTTTTTTTTATGTATTAATAATTTTATATACACATGTAACTGTAACTTAAAAATACAATTTCAAAGAAATGTAGAACTGTGGAATTCGAAGAATTGTAGTACAGTGAAACCCCTCCTAACAGACATCTCTAGATAGCGGACACCTCCGAATGCTGAATAAATTTTCGTGACCAAGAGTGTCCTGTATTAAGAGGTTTCACTGTAATTGTAAGTGAAATTAGATATGACATTTTATCACTTGTTATAATTTTATTCTTTAAATTATGCATATCTTAATCATCAATGCTGTTAATTGTACTAAGACTAGCTAAATAATTAAAAACATGTTTTTATAGCTATATTAATTATATTTAAGACAGAATACACAAGTCTGACATTATCTTCATGTAATTTTTTGAAGTACAGTGATTCATGAGCTGATCTCAAAATGTATCATTCCCAAAGTAATTTTTATCTTGATCCTAATTGTTTTGAAAGACTATAGTGAATATACACTTGAAATTTTATGTTTAATATGCTCTAAAAGACTTAATAGTTATTACTTATTATACTCTTGAAAATTTGTGTTTGATGTATTTAAGATCATATAATTGGTTTTTTATACTATTGCCAAACTATTAATATTATATGATAACTTATGTATATTAATATTTAAGTCATAATTTTATATTTTTATTTATATTTTGATTAATTTTACAAATATGAAATTGTTATTTTATTTTATGAAACCATTATCTATTTATATTTTGATTCCCACCTAGTAGGTATACATCATACTAGATTTTTAACTGATATATTTTATGTAATATTTTATATATTTAATATATATTTATTACTCTTATGTATTCATTTTTGTTTACATCCCATAAGACTTAAATATGTTGGAATAATTATTAACAACTTATAATTTATATAAACTTATGTTCTGTTAATATCTTTCTATAATTTTAACAATAATTATATTATTTTATTGAATTTTCATTTTTAAGTACCTATTTAAAAATACTCTGTATTACAAAATAATATAAAGCATGTTATAATTTAATTTAAAATCCAACTTTAACTGTTCTTATCGCATAAGAATATAATTTGTCAAAATATACCATTTTATTATTTTCTTTTTTGGTATAAATTGTGAATTACAACATTGGTTTTATGAAGTCGAATATTTTGATTGAAAAATGTAATGAAATGTCTAAAAAATCCAATTCAATGTATACAACTTTGTTTAAATACGTTGAAACCATTGAAAGTAACAGGGTTAAGTAGCCGTTACTAATAGTTGGTCACAATGATTATGTTAAAATGTTATATACGCAGGCATAATACTTTTATTTATTAAATATTATTGATTATTTATTCTTCTTAGTTTTTAATTATTGTGAATACAACTAGTATACCTACCTTAAAACAATTATTGTTTTTACCAATCTAATTATTATTTTCTACTCTAAATTATTTAGATCAATAGATTTAATAAACTACTCTTATAATTGTGTGATAATATTTATTATATATACAATTAAAAGTCCAACATAAATTAATGTTGTAAAAAAAAAACAATTTATTTTTGATTTAAATGAAGTATGTAAAATAATACACTTTAAAATTGACCAGTATAATGTCCTTTGAAATTTAATTCACAACAATTTGATTCATATTTATATAACCCATGTATGTATTCTTAACTGTCTATACATTATGCTGTTAAACATAAATTAACTTAAGTAAACATATTCAGCACCTATAAGACATTATATTATTATTATTATTATGTTTAGTTATAGATTAATTTTAAATATACATGTATTATTATTTTACTATTGAGTATATCAATTAAGTAGATATTTTTACCTATACAAAATTTTAACAAAAAATTATACTTTTATTTGATGAAAGGAATATTTAAGATAATATTTATCATATTTTTAATTTAATAAATTATAACAATATGCAGTTACGTCATCATTATTAATTAATTCAATTTTTAAAAAAATGTTCTGCTAAAAAAGTAATTAATTTTTTTAAGTGGTATTATTTTACTTTTTTAGATTCTCAGTGAAACGATGAATGTATTGATTTCACCATGTGTATTTTTTTTTAATTTTTAAATTAATTTTTGTGTCTGTCATCACGGTTTTTGGCAGTAAAATTGCTTCGATTTTCTTCAACAGTATCTCGTTCGATGGGAAAGTGAATCTATTTGGTGCATTCGGGAGGTCAAATTTTAAAATTCCCAATATTATTCACAAACGCCGGGAAAAACAACATAAAAATTAAAGGAAAAACGGAAATTTTTAAGCAAAATTGGTTTTCCAAAAAATCAATTTTGGTTTTTGGTGTAACTCTAAAACACATGAACGTATGCAATTTTCACTGGTTGTTTATATTTGCATTTTCTATACAGGATAAAAATTTCAAAATATTATGTTTTGTTTTTAACTGTTTAGGAACATTTTAATTTTCCATTTTTTTTGGTATTTTTTCTAGAAACATCAATAAAATTTTATTTGTTGGTTAAAAAAGCTTGAACATTTAATAGAAGGCTCCTAGTATATTTTTCAAAGGTTGATGAAAAATATTAAAAATCCTTAGTCACAGTTTTTTGTTATAAGCATTTAAAGTTCAAATATTGAATAAAATACGTAAAAATGACGAAAATTTGCAAATTATTTCGAGTTCCAAATTCATAAAAATTTTTCTTTTCAAACCTAAGATATGAAAATGTAATATAAGCTTCCTCATAAGTTTGTCTACCTTTATCAAAAAAAAAAAATGTTTATAAGAAAGGCAAATTAAATTTTTATGAGCGTTTAAAATTCACTCGATTTCTCATGTAGCGATTTCTTTATTTATTGTTGTAATTCAAAAACGAATAACTGTTGGTACATGAAAATTTCACTGAATGTGAATTTTGACTCTTTTTGAGCTGTTTACGGACATTTTCAGTTTTAAATTTTTTAGTTTTTTTTTTTATAAATATCAGTTAAGTTTTATACTTTTATTTGTTGGGCAAAAAGTTTAAACATGTAATACAAGGCTCCTGATATACTGTTACAATATCAGTTGGAAAATACTAAAAATACCTAGTCACAATTTTTTTTTAGAAGCATTTAAAGATCGAATTTTGACAAAATTTATCAAAATTAAAATTGAATAATTATTTTGTAGATAAAAATTTATAAAATGTTTAACTTATGTATCTAAGGATTGAAAATTGAAAACAAGATTTTACGTAAGTAGTTTATTCTGTTACCAAAATATCTAAAAACTACATAAACAGTTTATTTTTATAGTCATTTCAAGTTCAAATTTGGACGAAATTACATAATAAAAAACCTAGAATAACTATTTTAGTTA